TGGCCTCAGTATTGTTACTACTAACCCCAGTAGTACCTTTTGTGATATCACATGGCAGAAGTACCAGGTTTAAATAGATGCTGCCTAGGCCCTAATTTTTAATCTAGTTTCCTTTAATATCAACTGGAGATCAGTTTGATATATTAAGGCTGATGTGAGAATGGCATCCCTACAACAGGATAAGCATTAGTCATTAAGCTGATTTCTACTCCCTACCCACCAGCTCCAACATAGCGAAAAATAAATGAAAGATCCATTCATAATTAAGTATGCAGCTTAGAAAAAAAAGAAACAATGCCCAGACAAACAGGAAAATAGAACCAAAGGAATAATTCATATGATTAATGAAAAAGGAAAAGTAAATACTAGTGATGGATACTAAAAAAAGCAGTCATCCAAATCAACTCAGTTTCTCATATTCCTTTACCAAATGTGTAAATAGTGCAATAATGGAATTCAGAGTCCAGTGATCAACCCCAAACCAAATGCTACACCTCTTGCTGATACACCTGGGACAATCCATTTAAGTTGCAAAGAAATGGCTATGCCCACACTGAACTGTCAATACTTACTATACCCATGTGAGCTCAAATTTCATTTTGTATCATTATTTCATGATTAAAATGATCAAAGTATATTACAGAATAAGCTTTCATTCAAATATTTTATATTTCTGCCTTTCAGTTCTCTATTATATGTTTTGAAACTATATATATTTTTAACTGTTTTTTTTTTAAAATTTTTCTCTTTCATTCACGCCATGGTGTTTGGGGGCTTGTTTAGAGACCAAGTTAATGGCCTTTTAAGCTTCCTTCACGTGAATTGCAATAAAATTTTGAATATGTAAGAATTAAATATTACAGGTGTCACCAGAATTTTAAAAATACCAAAGTGGGACATAGCCCGAAATCAGTTGGGAGCCACTGTTCTAGCCAGAGAGAAGCATAATACATACATATATACATATACATGCACACATCTATATGATAGGATAAAGAACAAGTAGGAAACAGATCTTAATCTAACATGTTTCACTATATTAAAGCTTCATCAGAGATCAAGATAGAAATGATAAAAAAGCAAAGAGACACAGATTAATGGTATATTGTGTTTGGCTATTTTTCATTGGTTAGATATGTGTCACATGTAATGAAGTAACAGATAATATTTAAATATGTGTGGCAATCATTCTTAATGCTAAAGCGTGTAAAAGTTAGTAAGATGCAGTAGGATGTAGTGATTGGATACATGTCACATGTAATGAAGTAACAGATAATATATAAATATATATATATTAATTAACAAATTAAGTTTTCTTCTATGTATCATGTCCCTTTAGGATGTTGATGATCATGGCTCGCCATAATTTCCTGTCCTTGTAGCTTTTATTTATTAACAAATTAAGTAAATAAATAATAAACAAATTAACAAACTATGTATGCACGAACAACCACAATTAAGTAAGGTTAATAATAACAATTAGAAAAGTTCCTAACCTTGGAAAATGGGTGCCTCATGAATTGTCTGAAAACAACCTCAAATCCCAAGTTGACATCTGCTCTTCTCTCCATTCTCGCCAACTTGTTTCACCTTTTTTGGATAGACTTGTGACTGGCAACGAAAAATGGATCTTTTATCGAAATGTTAAGCATCGTAGACAGTGGCTTGGTAAAGGGGAAGGACCCCATCCACAGCCAAGAATGGAACTTCATGAGCAAAAGGTTCTTCTTTCAATCTGGTGGGATCGCCAAGGAATAATCCACTTTGAATTCTTACCACCTACTGCAACAATTAATGCTCAAATATACTGTCAGCAATTAGAGCGTTTGAAACAAGCTTTGAGGAAAAAAAGACCTGCTCTAGTGAATCGAAAAGGGGTGATGTTTCATCAGGACAATGCATGACCCCACACAGCAAGAATCACGTCACAAAAGATCGAAGAACTTGGTTGGGAGAAAATTCCTCTTCCATCTTATTCTCCTGATCTTGCTCCTTCAGACTACCATTTGTTTCGTAGCTTACAGAATCATTTGGAAGAAATAGCTTTTGTAACACAGGAAGAGGTTAAAACTGACATTTGTGAGTTCTTCAAATCAAAGCCAAAAGAATTTTACAGTAATGGAATTAGTAAGCTTGTTAATAGATGGAAGGAAGTCATAGATAATCAGGGAAAATACATTGTTGATTGAATCTGTAATTAAATGTAACATTTGGTCACTTGTTTTCTTTATTCAAAATTCGGACAGAACTTATGGGATGACCTGATATAAATAGACAAGCTACCACACAACACACAAGGCCTGAAGGTTGCATTCAAGTATGAAACAGACTGTCACCATTCAGTATTGTCCTCAGTGTTCACTTTTATATTTGCTCATGCGCTATCCCAGATATTGAGCACTCATAATATAGAATACTTTAAACTATATTTTCATCATATACATATATATATATATATATATATATATATATATATATATATATATGAAGAAATATAGTCTTAAGGTGTGCTATATTTATGGGATAAAGTGCTCGATATCAGAGATAGAGCGTGTGTAAATATAAAAGTGAACATAGAAGTCAACACTGTCTGTTTCATGCTATATGCAATCGTCAGGCCACCTTTTATATATATATATATATATATATATATATATATATATATATATGTATATGTTTATCAAATATGTGGTGAGGTTCAATTTATATTACAATGAATCATTCATACAAAAAGTAAATTAGTAAAGTTAATGATATAAAATGGCAAAATCCCTTCACTAACAAAATTTTTAAAGATGCATTAACCTACTAATGTAACACATTTAAAAAAAACATATTTTGATTCACATTATATTTTTTCATCTCAGATGCAACCTAAATTTTACCAAAAACAAAATAATTTCCATGCCTGAAGATGACTGAATGTACAGTCAAAAATACTTGCGTATTTAAGAAAGATCTTATACAGCTTACAATTTAAAAAAAACAAGGATCATAGCATTCATCGAGTGATTAGTAGGTTAATGCATCCTTAAAAATTTGTTAGCAAAGGGATATATATATAGGCACGGTGGAGTAATGGATAGCGGCTTGGATTTAGGAATCGCAGAGCCGAGTTCGAATTCCAGTTGAATCCATTACATTCACTTACGTGCTAATACCCTTGGGAAAGGTATGAATCCTCTTCCTCTCCCTCCAGCTATGGGTAAAATAGCAGGACAGACTGGGTTCTATAGCCTTGGATGGCAACTGGTCTAGGAGAAGGACAACTCTGAATTCAAAACCTCTGGGAGGGTTGTTTGGGAACCTTGTGGCATTCTGTGCACCAGGTCTCTGTATTCGTCCCTTCAAAAAGTGTGGATGGTCCTGCACGAGGCCTTCACCACTATAATCAAATCTCATGTGCCGGTGTCGGGCTGTCGGTTTCAGGAAACTGATCTGCTTGACCCTCATACGTCGAATCTCGATAGGAGAGTCGATTATATATATATGCATATGCAGTGGAACTTCGGTTATATATATATATATATATATATAACTGAGGTTACACTGCATATGCATGTATATGTATATATATATATATATATATATATACACATATGCAGTGGAACCTCGGTTAAATATATATATAACCGACGTTCCACTGTATATGCATATATATATATATATATATTTTGAATAAAAAACAGACCACTTTAAGGTTCCATGTAATAAAATATTTCACCACAGCCCTTTTAAAGGGCTCTGGATCATCAGACTTTACTTCCAAAGGTTGAAATGAAAACTGAAAAGAAATTTACACATTTTTGACAGGCCGTATTAAGCATATGTAAATTAACGAAGTGAGGGTGGCGAGGAGACGAAGTGAGGAAGTGAGTGGGGAGAGAAGGCATGAGTGAGTTAGATGTACCATTTCAATTCTTTATCCCTAACCCCACTTGGTGTGGGCCAGACAAACGCTTCACTTAACTTATGTTATCTTTAGATATGGATGGGTAAGTGGTGAAGAGGAAAACCGACATAAAAGGAAGAGGATACAATAAAACAATCCTGATGAGAGAAGGTTTCACTCAATTTCTTGGATGCTGTTATTTTGCATTACTTTAAAGGGTATATTTGGGGGTTAAAGTTTGATATAAATCTAAATGTCTACAAAATCTAAGAAGAATTTAATTTGATGTTTGTTGGAGTTTTGGGTATTTTCTATGAAATAGTCGATTGGAAAAAATTCATAGAAAGTACATTGAAAGAATAATTCATTTTACATCTAGTAATCTTTTTTATTTTCCTAAACTTTTTTCTTGTTGATTATTAAGTTGACATTTATTCGTTTGAGTTGAGATGGTTTTTCAAATTCTTTAGGTATAGGAGTGCTCCTGAATAATATTCAGGTTAATGGAAAAATCAAGCAAGTTCATGGACATAAGGTGATACAATTCAATATATATATATGTGTATAGAATACCTAAAGAGCTAGAACCTATCTACCTAGATTTTGTAGACATTTAGATTTGTATTAAATTACTATGGAAACAAGTATAATTTCACTTTGAACACCTTAAGCCAGACTTTGCCACAAGAAGTTCAAAATGGCACCTATAGTCATGGCTTTTTAAGCTACCACTTAAATCTAAATATAATGAGATAGTGAAGATGACTTGTATCTTAAATTGGCTTTTTTATTATTCTAAGAGTATCTATAAGAAACTTTCCTAAACTTGCATATCAATTTATTTCTGAAATATGCCCAAATTATCCGACCATCCAAATAACCCGGTCATCAAATTTACCCCACCCAACCCAATAAACTGGTTGTTAATCAAAGCTATAGGACCCAGTCTGTCCTGCTATTTAACCCATATCTGGGGGAGAAGTGATTGGTTCATAACCTTCCCAATGGCATTTGCACATAAGTGAATGTAACAAACTCTTAAAATCAGCTCTGCAATTTCTCATCCAAAGCCATTATCCATCATTACCACTTCTCCTGTACATCTAAGCTTACAACACCTGGTATTCACAAGTGGTCAGCCATCTAGTTATTGACCAGGCTTGACATTGCTTAACTTCGGTGATCAGACAAGAACCAGTTTTTCAATGTGATATGGCCCTTCTGTACATAAATATATATAAAATCTATGTACAAGGGTGGGCTGACTATGAAGGGGTAATGCTAGTGCTGTGAAATCTTGCATGCATTAATTTCAACCCTTCTTATTAATAACTACATTGTTTATTTCCAGGTACAAGTGTGGGCTGAAAAGTTCATAGGTTGCCTATAAAGGAGTGATGCTAGAGCTGTAAAATCTTGCATGCATTAATTTCAACACTTCTTATTAATAACTGCATTGTTTCTTTCCAGGTAAACTGACATCTGATTTTTCAAAGAAACCTTCAAAAGTAACTAGTTGTGACTTCTCTTAAAAATGGACAAAATTTGGTATTGTCATGTTATCAAGTACCTGCAGATAAAGGGTTTAGCTCTCATGGACATTCATACAGACATGGCTACTACATTAGGGAATGACGCTCCAGCTTTATCAACAGTGCAAAATTGGGCAGCTGAATTTAAGAAGGGAAGGGAGTGTCTTGAAGATGACTCAAGTTTGAGACATCCTGCAACTGCCACTACAGAGGAAAGCATTGATTCTGTTCACCACAAGGTGATGAATGACAGGCAATTGACTATAAATCAAATAGACAATGCTATAAGCATATCCTGTGAAAGAGTTAATATTCTGCACAATGAACTTGACATGATGAAGGTTTCATGCTTGGTGGGTACCACATCTTCTAATACCTGATCAAAAGCTCACCAGCTGGATCACATCACAGAAAAATCTGTCATTGTTTGAGGTGACGGCTTCAGTATTGACTATCTTCAAAAGGGCCACAACATCAATGCAGAAAACAATGCCAACTTGCTGAGGCAGTATACGAAAGGCTATTGAGACCAAACGTCCATAAAAACAGACAAAAGGGGTCTTGTTTCATCAAGACAATGCTCCAGTACACAAGATCTTGGTTTCAATGGCTGATGTGCTGTGGCTTTGCTGGTTGATCACCCTCCCTATTCTCCTGATTTAACCCCATCTGACTATCATCTGTTCCCCAACATGAAAAATACTTGTCTGAGAACTAGTATCACTTTGATGATGACATCATATCTGCTGTTGATGACTTTTTTGATCAACAAGATGAAAGCTTCTTTACCAATGAGATCCAAGTATTGCAACACTGATGGAAGAATTGTGTAGACTTTAAAGGGGACTGTATTGAAAAATAAACCTCATTTTGTGACATTCCATAAGAGTATCTTGGTTAGTATATGAACTTTTCAGCCAACCCTCGTATGTGCTGAATTTACTTATTTTGAAAATGTTGAAATATCCAACCAAATGTTGCTACAATTGATAATGTCCTTCCATTACACAAACTCTATTTGGGTCATGACTGTTGAAAGAAAAAGTGTTGATTCCAATCTACTTGGGAATGACTGCAAAATATTTGCCCCTCCATTTTTACACATAGAAGCACACAAATGCATGCTGGAATTTTTTTCTATCCAATAAAATAGGCTGGTTCTTAGTTTCATCAGATTCAGTCACAGTCTGTCTTGTTTTGAAGTCAGAATGCTATGTTCACTTGTCTGAACTTGCTTTTGGCTGTCAATGCCAATTCTTAGTTTGTGAACTTTTTGCCATATTACTGTTGATTTGTCTTATTACTCTTGATTTGCCTTGCATATATTGTTTGTTTGCTTTATATTATTTTTTGCCCTGTTCTTTTCTTTTTCTTGTTATTGCTTATTGCAAACTTTGTCAATTCTGTTTGTAGGACAGTTCCGTCACATATTTTGCATTTGACCATGGCTACTCACTCCACAAAAGTATATTAAATTTTTTATTTGAAATATACACCAAAATATACACATGGTTAAAAAATGGGGGTAAGGAAAGATGCTGGTTTTCACTATCTAAACATTAACTTATCTAGTCGCATTCATTGGTCCAAATTTGTATGAGTTACACTGAAAGAATAAATAGAAAAACAGTAACCATGTTGATTAAAACAATCATTAAACTTTGCTGTTGCTTGTTATTTTAATATCAGATTTATATATTTCAGGGTGGAACTCGGAAAGCACTGACATTTGGCAACCAAAAAATTAATTTGCATGAGCATGGAAAGGAATTTGAGCCAAAAGCAAGTGAACCAAGACCAGGTTCTGCCGACATCTGCTTCATCACCCAAACTAATATTTTAGATGTTATGAAACACCTTGAGGTAAGGTTTTTTACATTTTGAATTTTAAGTAACTCAGCTTGATTAGAAAATATTAAAATTCATTTCTGGCACAGAATTCTATTGACTGCTAGTAAATAACATAAAGAGCTCAACTGTCACAAATTTATTTGGTTTTGTTTGTTTTGTGTTTTCCAGGTAATTCAATACTGAATTATATTGTACAATAGATGGGTAGATAAAGGCTTGGTTTGCAAGGGAGTCAAAATAATTGATATAGGTTTGGTTTAGACAAGAGTTGAAAAGTTAGACATAAGTTTTCACAAGAGTCAAAAAGTTAGATGTAGGTTTGGTTTGCATTTGAAAAAAAAAGTTAGTCATCAGTTTGGTTTTCATGAGAGTCAAATTAGTAGACATAGGCTTGGTTTACATGAGTGTAAAAAAGATAGACATAATGATGTGAAGTCGAAGTTTAGCACTAGTCAGTCGCTATGCTTGTCTTCATCGCACGTTATTCTGAGTGACGAGTTATATAGGCTTTCTCTTGCACTTATGCAAATTAGGCATATTAATTTGCCAGTGTCACTACATCTCCCTGAAACATATAGGTTTTATACCTCTAGTAGTTCTTGTACTTCTTCTTGTGATAGTTTCATTACTTTGCTCTACTTCTCTTTCTTCCATATTTCTTTTTCTGGGAGACCTAAATATGTCCCACACTAAGCTGTAATCATAGGCATCTTCTTGCATTATTTGATCTTCGTCCAAACTTTCAAACTCATTCTGGCCCACTTGATCCTGCATTATTTCGTCTTCTGATGTTTCATTCTGTAACGGTTGTTCTAATAAACCATTAACGGACGGAATCGTAGACATTTCCACATTATTTTGCTCTTCATATTTACCCTGGGTCCTTATTTGATCTATATGGGCTAATACACTGTTGCCGTTTTCTCTATTTATTATAGCTGTATTGTGGCCTTTTTGCATGATAAATTCTGCCCTTTCCGGATTTGCTTCTTTGTTCTTTTTGTACCACATTGTTTCATTTGTGGAATATGACATTGTTAGCGGAGCTCTAATTTGTCTTTCCATTAAAGCTGACAGGCTTTCTAGTCTTCCAGCATGTGGTATTGTGCGATAACTTAAAAGCAGCCTAAGTAGAAAGACTTCTACTTTTTCTTTTTGCTGAGATCATGCTTTTAGTCCCGTTTTTACGGTCTGCACCATTCTTTCCGTTTTTTTGGTATGCCGTTTCTGGAAAATATGACCCTTAGAATCTGTTTTATCATAGAAATTTTCTTGTCTGGCACCCGGATTATTTCAGGCCAGCCTGAAAAAGAGTCTAGTAGAATTAATAAAAGTCCCACTCCAGTAATATATACATGATCCATATGCACCCGACTCCATGGCTCCACTTCTTTGGGCCACGAATGTAAAGTAATCTGTGTAAAGTTTCTTAATTCTTTACATTTTTTGCACCTTTTTATATTTTCTTTGACATCTCTTGAATATCCCAGCCACCATGCTTCTAATTTTATCTTTTTTTGTGTGGCCGCTACTACACTGTGTATATCATCATGTACACTTTTTATTACCAATTTTCTTTGTGTTTCTGGGGGAACTACCAGATCCCCATTACAAATCACTCCATGTTCTATCATTAATTTCTGTCTTATTTCTTTGTAGGGTCTTTCCGCCCTAGAACAATTTCCCCATGAGTTTTTTCTTATTCTCGATATTATCCTACTTAGTACTGGATCATGTCTAGTTTCCACACCCATTCTATCTAAAGACAAAACATCAGTCTCTACCCAATGTAAGAATGCATCTTCAAATTCTTCTTCTGTTTTATCTTTGTAAAATCACAATCTTGATAGTGCATCTACATGTAGAATTGAATTTCCTTTGACATATTCTATATCAAAGTCAAATGCCATTAATCTTATTGCCCATCTTAGTATCCTCGATGTCATGACTTTGGGTAATTCTTTCCTTGGGTTAAATATAAACTCTAATCGTCTATGATCACTTCTTAACAGAAATTTTTTCCCAATTAAAAATTGTCGGGCTCTAGTAGTTGTCTACACAGTAGCCAATGCTTCTTTCTCTATATTTGAATAATTAAATTTGGTGTTCATTAGTCTTCTTGATAAATACATTATCGGATGTCCTTCTTGTTATAATATTCCCGATATCGAATGTTTGCTTGCATCTGTGGTTAACGTAATGTCCTTTTTTGGATCAAACATTTTCACTACTGGTTTCTTTGCCATAATTACTTTTAATCTATCAAAAGCTTTTTGTTGTTCCTCTGACCAAGTAAATTCAACATTCTTTCTTCTTAAATTTGCAAATGGTTCAGTCAAGTCCGTGTATTTGGGTAAATATCGCCTGTAAAAATTCACCAATCCCCCCCAAAAATCCAGTTCTTTTTTATTTGTAGGTGTCGCTACTTTTAGTATTTTTTCTATCAAGGATTGGTCTGGTGATATACCTTCTTTTGAAATGGAATAACCTAAAAAAGATATCTTACTACAATTGCTTATGCATTTTTTCTCATTTATTGTCATTCCAGCATTTCTTAATCTATTCAAGATTATGGCGGTTTTCTTTTTTAATTCATTTTCATTAGTAGCTCCTATGCATATATCTTCTTGGTAACAAATCATATTTTTCATATTTTCTAAAACCTGTTCAATGGCCCTTTGAAATATGGTGCTTACGGTTTTTATTCCATATGGCATCCTTTTCCATCTTAGTAACCCTATTGGCTTATTTATCGTGGTTACTTTTTTGAAGTTATCGTCTATTGGTATTTGGTGGTATGCCATTTTTAAATCTATTTTTGTAAAAACGCTCATTCCTGCCAGTGCATGTAATGCAACTTCAACATTCGGTATAGAATATGAATCCGAACAAACTTTGTGATTTACGCCTATTTTGTAATCTCCACAAATACGTAAATCACCATCTGTCTTCCTCAAAACTACAATGGGTGATGCCCACTTGCTACCCCCAGGAGGAACATGTTCAAGAAGGTCTTGTTCTATTAATTTTCATAGTTTTGTTACTACTAATGGCAACAAATGTACTGGTAATTTTCGTGCCTCATAATAAGAGGGGGAGACATTTTCTTTTAATTTTAAACTCAAAAATTTTTTGGTATCAGCGTTACTTCACTCCCAGTATCAATTTGCATATCTAAATTGCAGTTGCTGATTTTAACCTTTAGTATAATGTCTTTTTTTCGTTTGTTCAATTTTTTCTATATTCTTATTTTTTTAATGTGAAGACTTCCATATTGGTTTCGTTTTCTTCAATTCTTTCAACGTTTTTCTTTTTGAATTTGCATACTGCTTGAAAGTAGTTCTTTTTTAAGCAATTTGTAGAAGTTTTACCAAATGCTGGGCATTTTTCCCTTTTTATTTCGTGTTCATGTCCACAATACGAACATTTTCATATCTTTTTTAACATGTACGTATCAGCGAATATTTGTTCACTGGGTTGACTTTTATGATGGTTGTATTTCTGTATTAATTCTTGTTGCTGTATAAAGTCAATGCCTGTATTTAAAGACATATTTTCTATTTGTAGTAGTTCCATTATTTTATATCAGTGTGATGCATTACATATACCTTCAATTAACCTTAATTGAATCAAGTCCTCTTCAATAGTCTGTTCATCTTGTCCGAGTTTTTCAAATTCGCAATATCTACTCACATTTCGTAGATGATGTAGATATTTTATAATTGGTTTGTCAATTTCTTGTTTCATCAACATGAACTTTGTTCTTTCTGCCACTACCAGCCTTTTCTTGGGTCTCATATTTCTTCTTATAATCTAACTTATTTTTTCGAAAGTCAGGTCTTCCAAGTTTGTGGGATATGCCATGGTGGAGACTTTCATTATCACCTCGCATCCAGCTGTAGCCAAAAATAAATCTGTAATTTCATTTTCGCCTCCCTTCTCCTTGTTGTCTTTCAGCTTTTTACTTCTCGCACTGGCAGAAAAACAGCGAATCCATGCATCCACGAAATCTGAATCTTGTAGAGACAAATGGGATCCTATCGGCGATGCCATTGATGTGAAGTTGAAGTTTAGCACTAGTCAGTCGCTAAGCTTGTCTTCGTCCCACATTATTCTCAGATGAGTTATATAGGCTTTCTCTTGCACTTATGCAAATTAGGCATATTAATTTGCCAGTGTCACTACACATAAGTTTGGTTTACATGAGAGTCAATAAAGTAAACATAGGTTGGTTTGCACACGAATCAAAAAGTTAGACAGCTTTGGTTTACATGAGAGTCAAAAAAGTAGATATAGGTTTGATTTGCATGAGAATCAAAACTGTAATAGGTTTGGTTTGGATGAGAATCAAAACTGTAGACATAGGTCTGGTTTGGATGAGAATTGAAAAGGTAGACATAAGTTCAGTTTGGATAAAAGTCAAAAAGGTAGACATAAGTTTTGCTTGCATGAGAGTCAATAGCTATAGTGAACAGGTGTCTACTTTTGAGGATGGAGTTATGCTTTTGCACAGGGATGCAGTCAGGGTATTGTTGATCTCAATCAACAGGATGCAAGAATCATTGAGTTTTTACTTGTACTACTACATGGTACCAGTAGCACTCATAAAGTTACCTGACATCATCCTGGGTATGACAATAAACTAAATCTGGCAGCAACATTTCTGATTGCGAGATTGGCAGTTTTGAGGAGTGTGAACCATTATCAATTGCTGTTGTTCTCAGATCCACCCTAATTCAGGGTGGTAGCACCTGTTAGGGTTCCAGCTATGGTCAAATAGAGAACCCCAAACAAAAATTAAAACACTAGGAAAGTATAAAAATAGATTTTTATAGTAAAAATACCAGCAGTTTGTTTTTATAGAAAAAAAATCAAAAATTTATTTTTAATGGTAAAATTACCAACAACATATTTTTATGGCAAAATTGACCATCAGTATATTTTATAGTAAAATTGAAGACATGGCATACAAAAGAAACAATTTTCTATGATTAATCTTATTTCTGGTAAGG